TAAGGGTGCTTGAGGGCAACAGAATGAACGTATCTTTAAACACATGAAGGAAAGATGCCATGTTCAAAATTTAGGAGGAAAGATTCAGTAGAGTTAGCGAAAGGGGACAGGCTGTGAATACGGGACGCATGATTTTTGGGGAGGTGTCAACAGTACCTTGGAGGTCAACGAAGAAAGCTAAATAGAAAGTTTCTAGCACAGTGGGTGGGATTTAAAACAAAAAATGAAGATTTGGATTAAATTTCTAGGAGCGGATGCTATACAGAGTATGTTAAGTTTTGTACAAGAAAGAACGTGCCCACTGAAAGAGCTGAGTGGTTAAGGCATCAGGTTAGAAAGCAGGAGACTGGGAGTTCTAGTCCCACCCTTGGCTTGAAAGCTGGCTGGGTGACTTTGGGCCAATCGCCAGGAGACTGGGAGCTCTAGTCCTGCCTTGGCCAGCTGGATGACTGGACTAGTCTTTCTCAGCTCAATGCACCTCACAGGGTTGTTGTTATGGGAAAAATAGGAGGAAATAAAATTAGGTTATGTTCACCATCTTAAGTTTTGTTTTGTTTTTAAATAATAAAGTCAGGATATGTGGTAAATAAGGTTCAAGGAAAAAAAATGGATGAAAAGAAAGACCTAAGGGTTGTTAACATATTGTACCATTACCAGTAACATGTTACATGTCGGAACACGTTTCAGAGATGGAATGTAGCTGAAGAAATGATAAAATACAGATGTAGCTTACATTTAGAGTTCTGTGTCACATCTATATATTTTGCTGTGTGAATACTGTTTCTGTGCCGAGACTGTTGCCTTATGCAAAGGAAAAAGTTGTTAAGAGTGAATAATAAACTGCAATGGGACTATTTTAAACATGCCAGGTAAAGCTATTTGGAAAAAATTCTGATCACAAAGGTACAAGATGACCATAAACAACTTTGGAAAGTGTAGTGGGGGTTTGGACTAGAAGACCTCCAAGGTCCCTTCCCACTCTGTTATCCTATCCTATCCTATCCTATCCTATCCTATCCTATCCTATCCTAGTGTGGCTTTATGCTGAGTAGATGTGAAAACCACGTTTTGGCTTTTCAGCACATCACTGGGAAATGTTACAAAAGCAGGAAAGTTTATTGTACATTTGTTGCTATAGAAAAAGCAAATAGACTTGAATTATGACATGCATCACACATTTGAAAGTTGGTAGTGTTATTAATAGTAATTTATGAAAGTAAAGTCTGTGTGACATTAAACTGAATGTTTACCGGATAGGCCAACGTTGAACAAGGAATAAAACAAAAATGAGTTATTGTTTGACTGCTCAATGGATTCATGGATAAATGCCGAAGGGACATTTATAACAAAAGGCAAGGGAAATTTGAGAGGAAACCAAATTTGTGTCCATTTTTTATGCAAACAATAAGAACCTGAGTAATTTGTAAGGGAAACTAAATATACCTTATAATGAGAGGTGTTAATTAATGTATCAAACCCAAAGCATTGCATTTATTTTATTTAGCATTTGGCATCTACAGAGGTCATGCAATCACTCATATGCAAATACAAGTTTTAAAAAAGCAAATAGGTGAACAACAGATGAGATAAAATGTTAAATTAAGATAAAACTATAATAAAATCACCATAATGTGGCATCATAGAGTCACAACAGAATAGATGTTATAGTTAAGATTATAAGATGTTATAAGGCAATTGCAACAGGCATAAACATATAATGCTTAACTTTTCAAAATACCCTTTATTTATAAGGTTGCTTAACTAAGCCTGAAATTGGACTGTCCAGATTTATTATTCCAGGAGTTTGGGGAGGAGAAGAAAGAATTCTGCTGCTTCTGCTGTTTTCCTTGCATGAAGCCAAAAGTCTCTCCTCTCTCTCTCCCCCTGAGAACAGAGCTGGAGATGGTATCGTGCGATCCCAAATAAAGAATGATTGATTGGTAGGAAAACGGGGTGGGGAATTTTCTATCTACACACCCAGAAGCCATACATAGACACATGAGTATGGTCTCTCACTCTCTTTTGAGACCCCTAAAATCTCCTGGTAAGATCCTGTTTGCAAAGCGATCTTGAGCACAGCTTAATCAGAGGATCCTTTAAATATGCCTAGAGGAGGGTGGGGAACCAATTTTGCATTATCCTTGAGCATAATGCATAGCCTGAGCATGGCCCTCAGTCAGATCCCACTCAAAAGTTTGAAGGGCCATGTATGTATTTTCCTCTAATATTTAAATACATCTATGGTTGGAAAAGAGGATCAAGCAACAACTGAAACCAGAAATACTTTTGTTGGGTATAATGCCAGGGGGCTATGATAAAGGGGTATTGACAGCAGCAAGGATTGTATTTGCACAATATTGGAAAAATGAGAACACCCCATCAGATGAGGTTGTAATTCGGAAAATATTAGACTGTGCAGAGATGGATAGAGTGACATTAAAAATAAAGGACAAAGAAGACACAGAATATTACTTAACATGGGATAGATTTTACGAGTGGTTAGAGATAACAGCTGGAAATTAGATGAAGATTATTGCTATGTATGAATTAAATATAAAGTTGGCTTTTAATTATAAATACTGTACGCCAATAGAACCAACAGAATTACAAATAAGCTAATATAAAATCTAGTCACAACTAGTCTGTTACACTATTATTGTTATTAGTACGTCGCAGGGGCCCCCAAACTTGGCAACTTTACGACTTGTGGACTTCAACTTCCTGGGAGTCTTAAAGTTGCCAAGTTTGGAGACCTCTGGTCTATCTGTTCTATTTTATATCTTCTTCTATAGATAGACACACACACACATGAAATGGTGTATAGTATATGAAATAGTATAGTGCAATACTATTCATGCATCATCACAAAATCTCCAGAACCGTAAAGCCTACAAACTTGAAATTTGGCATGTATGTTCCTCTTGGCTTCTAGGGGCTCACTAAGAGGATTTTTTCGAAATGACATCAGAACATTAGTATTAACATTACTCTGTTATTCTATTCTATTCTATTCAAAGCAAATAACCAAGCTATTTTTTATCCCCGCAGTTGGCAGATAAGTAAAAAGCAGCCTTTCAACACGCAAGCAAACCGAGGCTGCAGTTCCCTTGCCCCGACACCCAGGCGCCCCCCAGGCCCATCCGGACGGAGCAAGAACCGGCAGGCTTTTTGCGCCGGCCCGCAGCTCTGCGAAGGGCTCTTGGCGGCTCCGGTTTCCCTTCTTTTCCCCGCTTCGCCAACTCTGGCTGGGAAGGATGGGCCCTGGAGTCGGACAACATCTCTGGGAGGCCTCAGTGATGACGCGGAGAAAAGGCTCGGCAGGCCGTTTCAGATGAGCCTCGTTTCCCCTCCCCACCCTCCGCCCCCCTGGCCGAAGGAAAAGGGGAAAGCGCCATTACCCCCGCGTCTCTGGCTCCCCAGCTGGAATATCCCGAAGGGAAAGAAGGAGGGAGGGAGGGAGGGAGGACGGAAAGAAAGAGAATATGAAAAAGGGGAGGGAAGAGAAAGAAAGAGCGAGAGACCGAAAGAAGGGAAAGAAAGGGAAGGAAAGGAAAGGAAAGGAAAGGAAGGAAGGAAGGAAAGAGAAAGGAAAGGGATCGAAAGGGAAGGGGAGGAAAGAAATGAAGGAAGGGAGGAAAGAGCAAGAATGTGAAAAAGAAAAGGAAAGAGAGACTGAAGGAAGGGAAGGAGAAAGTAAAGGAGAGCGAGAGGAGGGAAAGAAAGGGATGGGAGGACGGAAAGAGAGATAATCTGAAAAGGGAAGGGAAGAGAAAGAGCGAGAGACTGAAAGAAGGGAAAGATATGAAAGGGAAGAAAGAAAGAAAGAAAGAAAGAAAGAAAGAAAGAAAGAAAGAAAG